GCTCGATCTTCGTAGTGCCTACAACCTAATCCGTATCCGGGAAGGCGATGAGTGGAAGACCGCCTTTATCACTCCCGCAGGGCACTACGAATATCTCGTGATGCCCTTCGGATTGTCCAACTCACCCGCCATCTTTCAAGGCTTCATGAACGAAATCTTCCGTGATCTTCTCAATCAGTTCGTCGTCATCTACATCGACGACATCCTCATATACTCTCCCGATCTGACCTCCCATATCCATCACGTTCAGACTGTACTCCAACGCCTACGAGATTACCATCTTTACCTCAAATTGGAGAAATGTGAATTCCACCAAAGCACCATCCACTTCCTCGGTTACGTCATCACCCCACACGGAATCACCATGGACCAGAGGAAGGTGGATGCGGTACTCCATTGGCCACAACCCACCACCCGTAAGGAGCTTCAACGTTTCCTGGGGTTTGCCAACTTCTACCGCCGTTTCATCCAGAACTTCAGTTCCATCAGTTCTCCCCTCACCGACCTTCTCAAGAGCGGGGCCAAGTCTCTGTCCTGGAACAGCCGAGCCACCCAAGCCTTCCAAGCTCTGAAGTCTGCCTTTGGCTCCGCTCCTACCCTCGCCCTTCCGGACCCCGCCGTGCCCTTCCTCGTCGAGGTGGATGCCTCCATCTCGGGGGTAGGAGCGGTCCTCTCTCAGCGGCAGGGGAATCCATCTCAACTCCATCCATGCGCCTTCTACTCCAAGAAGCTGTCCCCGGCGGAGCAGAACTACGACATCGGCAACCGGGAGTTACTAGCCATTAAGTTGGCATTGGAGGAATGGAGGCACTGGCTGGAGGGAGCCCAACACCCGTTCACGGTGATTACTGACCACCGCAACCTCGAGTACCTCCGGGAGGCCAAGAGACTCAACCCCCGTCAAGCCCGTTGGGCCCTGTTTTTCACACGCTTCAATTTCGCAGTCACCTATCGCCCCGGTGAAAAGAACGTAAAGGCAGATGCACTCTCCCGTCAGTTCCAACCAGAGACACCTTCTTCCGAGCCTGAACCCATACTCCCTCCAGCCGTGGTCGTCAGCCCCATCCAATGGAGCCTAGATGACCACATCGCCGACGCCACGCAACTCGAACCTGCTCCGCCGGGAGGTCCAGAGGGACGGGTCTATGTTCCAACCCGTCTACGCCTGTCCCTCCTGGACTCAGTACACACCTCTCCGGGCTCTGGACACCCAGGCAGCCAAGCCACTCTCTCGCTCGTCCAACAGCGCTATTGGTGGCCGGGTATGGCCCAGGACGTCTCCCGGTTCGTCAGCGGATGCTCAGTCTGTGCCATGGGCAAGGTTCCCCGTCATCTCCCAGAAGGCAAGCTGGTTCCGCTCCCAATACCCACTCGACCGTGGTCCCACCTCGGAGTGGACTTCGTCACCGACCTGCCCCTGTCTGACAACCACACCTGCATTCTGGTCGTAGTAGACCGCTTCTCCAAGGCGTGCAAGCTAATTCCCCTTCCGGGTTTGCCAACAGCCCTTGAAACAGCTGAAGCACTATTCCAACACATCTTCCGTAACTTTGGGATCCCAGAGGACGTAGTCTCCGATCGAGGACCCCAATTCATCTCTCGAGTGTGGAGGGCATTCTTCAACCTTCTGGGAGTGACCGTCAGCCTCACTTCTGGATACCATCCCCAGTCCAACGGCCAGACTGAGCGGAAGATCCAGGAGATTGGGAGATACCTGCGGTCATACTGCCACGACCACCAGGACTGCTGGAGCCGTTACCTGCCCTGGGCCGAGTATGCACAGAACTCCCTCCGACAAACCACCACCGGACTCACCCCCTTCCAGTGCATACTCGGCTACCAGCCTCCACTATTCCCCTGGTCAGGAGAACCATCTGACGTCCCAGCAGTCCACCACTGGTTCCAGACGAGCGAGAGAGTCTGGGACTCAGCTCATACCCACCTCCAGCGGGCTGTTCGGAGACACCAGAACCAAGCCGACCTTCGCCGTGCCGACGCCCCTCACTATCTTCCCGGACAACTGGTCTGGCTCTCCACCCGGGACATCCGTCTCCGACAGCCCTGTCGGAAGCTGAGTCCCAGATATATCGGTCCTTTCCCGATTCAGAGGCAGATCAACCCCGTCACCTACCGGCTGGCACTCCCCGCTCACTACCGCATCGCACCCACCTTCCATGTCTCCTTGCTCAAGCCGTACACTAACCCTCTCACTCCTTCTTCCCCAGGGTCTGGTGCTGCGGAGGTGCCCCCTCCTCCTGCGGACCCCGAAGATGACAACATCTACCGAGTCCATGAAATCCTCGACTCCCGACGACGGGGCGGCCGCTTGGAATATCTCGTGGACTGGGAGGGATTCGGTGCCGAGGAGAGATGCTGGGTCAACCGGGAGGACATTCTGGACCCCTCGTTACTCCAGGACTTCCACACCACCCACCCAGATCGTCCAGCGCCCCGTAGCCGTGGTCGTCCCCGTCGTCGGTCCCGTCCGCCAGCTGGAGCTGGCCGTGGGGGGGGGGGTACTGTCACGGATCCATCGGCGTCTGCACCAGACACCTTCACTCCGCCCACTCGTTCCAGCTCCCCAGCATACTAATCACTGTCACCTGCCCGCTTCAATCACCGTCCCAATCATCCTCCCTTTATAAACTCACTCCTCACAGTCACTCACCGTCTGGTCTCGTCGACACATCGACTACAGACTCCCGCTACGCTACTGCCTTCTTCTGAGGAATACTTACCCGCTTACTTCAGCCCGTCTGCTTCTCATCCGCTCCTGGTCCTCGGTCATCCTTCTGGTCATCCGTCTGCTGCCTCCGCTCACCAACCTCCAGCCCTGCTTAAAGATAAGAAATCCACTATCAGACTGTTTCCCGCTCCTAAACCGAACTTTATCCATTACTCACTTACCTGCTGTCTATCATACCCACTGTCTCAATAAACCTGGTTACACTCATCCATCTGTGTCCTTCTAGTCTGTGACACCGTCATACATAAAGAAAGAAGATTATAGGAACAGGTCACTGCATCATATTGTGTGGAGTGAAGAGTGAATATCTTAATAAAATAACAAGATGCAGGCAGGTTAAATGCATGACCATCAATATCAAATCCACCAGTATATTAACAATATAAAAAATATTATTGTTAAATTCTACCTATTTAAGTTCTCTGAAATTAAAAATCTTTAAGAACTTTTGGGATATTATAAGTACTCAACTGCAGGAATTATATAACACTGTGCAAGTGTTTTTGGATATTTTATTACAAAAATCTTACACATTGTACCTTTAATAAGCTAATAAGTATATTATAATTGAAATTCTACATATTAAATTTGTTGTGAATTATAATAGTGTGTAATTAATAGTATTGTGTAATTTAATAATAACAAATTTGGGGCAAATAATATTATTTAATAATAATAATTGCAATAAACGGCTTTCGACAGTAGTTAATTACACTATTGCAAGGTTAATAATAATATCACATTTTATTAATTATAATATATTATAATGTTATTATTCACAATAAATACATTTGTGGCAAATAATATAGTTTATTGTTGTTGTTGTTGTTGTTATTAAATACACTAAGTATTACATTTAATGTTAATTATTATATTGTATCATGAAAAAAATGAAATCACAATTACTGATACAGTAATATACTTATTAACATCAAATATTTTGTATATAATGTAATAATTATTATTATTATAAAACACATTTTTTGGCAAATAATTTAGTTTAATAGCCTGTTGCGAACTTACCATATTAATACCATTTATACCACATCCTCTCAGCCCACTTCATGTGGTGCATCCTAAAATGAATTTAAACAGTAATGAAGTTTGCATCTACTGTGTATTTGCCATCTTTTGGCTCCATTTAAAACAATTAAATTACAAATTAGTGCTTTCAAACGATTAAAATATTTAATCGCGATTAATCGCATTAATTTCATAGTTAACTAGTAATTAATCGCAAATAATCACACATTTTTATCTTTTCTAAATGTCTCTTGATTTCTTTTTCTCCCATTATTTTTTTTCTCATTTTAATACTCTTATCAACATGGAAAAGTTGATCAGCTTGCTTTGTGCAAATGGTTTTTATTGAAAACAACATTGGCATACAGTGTGTTCAAATTCACACTAAAGTTCTCACTTGGAGCAAATAATCTCTCACACAATGTAACTGTCCATCAATAAAAGGGTGAAAGAAATACTGACGAGGTCCTGATATTGACGAGGGGGCGGAGAATTCGCATCAGCTGTCTGTGTGTGTGTGCTTGGCCATCATCAAGTGGTATTTCAGACTGGACGTGCTGCGATGATGATAGTTCAGTTCACAACGACAAAACACACAGATCACTTTGGTCTTGTCACTGGAACCATTTGGCAACTTTTTAGTGAAGTAAACTTTCCATTCAGAATCTTATTGGCATCCATTTCGGCGTCTCGTGCTCATCATCCACTCAAAACGTAACGTTAACCTACTATTTGGCCGGCTCGCAAGCCCAAACGAGTGTGTGCGGCGTCGTGCCTGTTGTTTTGTTTACGGTCTAGCTACAGTAGATCCGCTTGCGCTTTGGTCGACGAAGCAACAAAACGTCCTCGCGCGGCTCAAGCCATTGAAATGAATGGGTTTCATAGCGCCGCATACGCATGCCGCGTCCTGTTGCAAAAGCATGTGAAAGAAAACTACAAAGTTTGCTAGGCCAAAAAGACTGTTAATCGCGCAATAAAAAAATTAACGCCGTTATAATGGGTTTGCATTAACACCGCTAATAACGCGTTTAACTAACAGCCCTAAAATATATATAATTGTAAAGGAACTCAATGTCCAAAACATAAAACTTTGACTCAAAAGCTTTTTAAGATTGTGAGAAGAAATGTCTCAAATGTGTCCATTCATTCATAACCAGTTCTCAGAGTATACTTTTAAAAGTTTTGTGACATACAGTACCTCACTAGCATATGACTGCGTTCTGTCCCCTAGAGGCGTCCACATGTATGATGTCAGAGTGGATCAGCTGGTCCCCTTGCACTGCCTCGTGTGGCATGGGCATGAGGTCCAGAGAGAGATATGTCAAGCAGTTCCCAGAGGACGGCTCCAGCTGTACACTGCCAACCGAGGAGACCGAGAAGTGCACAGTCAACGAGGACTGTTGTAAGTTAGACATACATTATACTGTATGATGTTGTGTTGATGTTTTTATGGACATTCAGTGTCAAAAGTCTAAAGCCTAAAGTCTACACCAGTAATGTTAGACACATGAATGTATGTGTGTGTGTTGTAGCACCCAGCAGCTGTGTGGTGACCGAGTGGGGCGAGTGGGAGCCCTGCAGCGTGAGCTGTGGAGTGGGGATGAGGAGGAGAGAGCGCATGATGAAGATGGAAGCCTCAGATGGCTCTCCGTGTCGAGCGCAGCTGGCGGAGGCAGAGAAGTGCATGATGCCTGAGTGCAGTGAGTATGAAGCGTCAACTCAATCCAACAGCCTCTCATGGGCCGGGCAAGATGCCCTGCTTCACCAGGCTTGATTCATTATCAGAATTCCTCTTTGGGGCTAGTCGATTTCTAATTAGACCTGCTTGTCACTGGCCCCGGGTCGGGCTGCACCCAGCCGCTCATAAGGTCTCATTTAAATTAAGATGTCAAGTTCATGCTCGGGGCTTTGTATACTCGTTTCTATGTCGGTACTTAATTTGACTGCACCGTTTGTTCTTAAGGCATTTTATTTGCTCTGTAAAGTAATGCGTAGTCACATAATATAACCTTTATTTATCCAATAGTCAGCCTTCAAATTTGTAAATAGAAGTAGTTAAAGGCTGTCCATTTCAGTTTTAACTTGTAACAGTTGATGCTTCAAGCTGAACAGTAATTCAGTTTACCATTGCAATATGATATATAAACAATAAATACATTTTATAATAAGTAATAATAAATCAAATATAATAAATAGTACTTATAAATGTTCAAGAATTGTATCTAAATTGTGGCAATAAATAAATACCTGTACAGTAGACTGAAAATATATTAATTCATTCATTTTTATTAAATTCGAAAGATGAAATATTAAATTTGATGTCAATTATAATATTGTGTAATTTAACAACCACCATGCCCACAACAAATTACTAATTATTATTACGTTTTTATATTAGTTAGTTATTTACTTTTATTTCTGCACATACTGTATAATAATAAAATATGTAAATGTGACTGGTGAATCAAAATAGTTTTTTACTGTAGCCCTCAATCCGTATTCACTTTATAGCCCTTAATCCTGTAATTGTGGACAAATGTGGACACACCTAATTTTTATTTATTATAAATGTTATATCACTGTCTTCAATAAAGTTTTGTCTATCCATTTATGGTGGTTTTTTTTATTTTGGGGGTATTTTTGAATTTATTTACTTCAAAAAGTACCATATTTTCTATGTAAATTATGCTTATTTTTATGTGTTATTTATTTTTTATTTTTTTTACTAGATTAAAATATCATTCCAATAAGTTCTTAGAGCTGAAACCTAAAGATGAAGTGACTTGTAACCTGGTGTCTTATTTTGGCTTATTTTAGTATGCTCTTAATTACAGTTTTTCCCTTTCATTTCTATGGCTGCCCATTTTTGACCCAAATACAAGATTAAGAAGTTTTTTTTTTTCACCCACTTAACATTGTAGAATTGAGTCAAAAAAAAATGTGTGTGTTCAGGAGGCAAACTTAGGAAAGGTAGCCAAGTCTTGTACCACTCACATCAAGGGAAGTATTTTTTAACTATTTTGCCCACATTTGTCCAGAATACAGTTTTAGGGTTAATAGTATTGATCTACAGTGGATGAGAAAAACATTATGCATTATTGCAAAGTTTTGATTTCAATACCACTTATATTAGCAAGTCAATATATTTTTGACTGGCTATACAATAAAAATGATATTTATAAACTTTTGTAACATTGTGTGTGTAGACACAGTGGTGTGTATGGTGTCTCCGTGGTCAGACTGGGGAGAATGTAGTGTGTCCTGCGGTGTGGGCATGCGTTCCCGTCAGCGAATGCTGAAGACGCCCGTAGAGCCCAGCCTGTGCCCAGATGAGCTCGAGCAGGTTGAGAAGTGCATGTTTCCTGAATGCCGTGAGTAATACACACGCACACACACACGCCTTTACTTGCTATCTAAATGGGGACATATCAAAGACTTCATGTAAAGCTACTGTAAATGCTACATTCTAAATACTACAGACTAACCCTAATACGATTACCAAATAAACATGTCCCCAAACAGAATTTCACAAAATTGTCCCCATACTATAGCTAAGTACATGCACAAAAATGCAAAGATTGGTGGAACGATGTCTTTTTAATTGATTCCATTCCTCCTCCAGCCACGGACTGCATGCTGTCGGAGTGGTCAGCTTGGTCTGAGTGCAATAAGTCTTGCGGGAAGGGTCACATGATCCGCTCACGAATGGTCAAGCTAGAGCCTCAGTTCGGGGGCCTGCCGTGCCCCGAGACGGTCCAGAGGAAGAAATGCAAGATCCGCAAGTGCACGAGAGGCTCCCGTGCCAGCGACAAGAGAAAGAGACAGGAAGCTCCAGACAGGAGGAGAGGAAAACAGAGCAGGGAGTCTGTGGCAGAGGAGAGCTCAGGTCTAGAATTATTTAGTATTTACTTGTTGCAAATGTAGCTCTCTGTCAACAGATCGTTCCTGGAAGCTGGATTTATGTTAATTGCTGAATCTGAAGTTGAAGTCAAATTGAAATCAAATTGACCTAATTTTTTTATGTGTTCCTGGTTTTACTTTGCATGATTTGTCAGTGTTGGTTAATCCAAATGAAAAAAAACATGTCTTTTTCATGGCTGATAGTGGATTTGAGGTGGGTACAAAAACTATATTTCAGTGTTTTTTGCAAAGGAATGCAAAGTTTCTCAGGGGAATGCCAAATAGTCATTTTATGAAAAAAGGTTTTGCAACAGAAGATTTGATTTTAAACTTATTTTGTATCCTCGTATGTCCTGAGTAAGGGAAAAAAAGCCTGAAGAATCCCATTAGGGGAAAGTTTAGAAAAAGACCCAAATATATCCAGTTTATACGCATATTCATTATTTTTCTCACGTGAAAAGGGTAAAAATTTTAACCTTTAGATATCATCATGAAAATCACTGAATTGATTACTTGCATCAAGACAAACAAAAAATGTATCACAAGTTTTTTGAAATTGTTTGTTAACATGGACAAACGGTGCATAATAAAATGAGGTATTAGCTGATTTGCATAATATTACCCAAACAGATCTACTGTAAACATCTACTGCACACATCCCCTAAACTTTCCCCTAATGGGATTCTTCGGGGCTTTTGTTTTTCCTTACTCAGGACATATTGAGGATACAAAATCAGTTCTGTTCTCATTCTGTTGCAATTTGTTCAAGGTTGACCCCCATTTTGGCTTAAAATGACTGGACTAAAAGTTTTGAAAGTTTTTTTTAAAAGTTTGTGAAAAAATTATTTTCAAATAACAATTGGGATTTTAAGGTTACCATTTGAATACGGCAAGATGATATAATACACTTCGATCAATTCCCAAAGGATAAAATCAAGTAATTTTTTTTCTTATTGAATTTTCAATTTTACACAGAAATATGTTACATTATGGTAGTAAAATGAGTTGCAAGTTCCAAAACCTAATAGGCTGCCTACAGAATCAATAAGTTTAAGGCATCACAAGTGGACTCTCAAGGCCTATTTCAAAAGGCAGAGAAGTAATAATGCACAATAATTTTGTAAATATTATTATAATTTAAATATATATTAAAATGTAATTTATTCCTCCTGAATTTTCAGCATCATTACTCCAGTCTTCAGTGTTCCTTCATTAATCATTCTAGTATGCTGATTTCCTGCGCAACAAACATTTCTTCTTATTATTAATGTGCTTAATGTTTCAAGCTGTGGTCCATTTAAAGGGACAGTTCATCCAAAAATGAAAATTAGCCAATGATTTATTCAACCTCAATTCATCCTAGCTGTGTATTTCATTCTTCTTTCAGACGAATAGTATTTTTGTGCAAAGTGTGATGCATTTTTTCCCCAGAATTCTTTGATGAATAGTTTTTTTAAAACTTAAGAAAAGCATTTATTTTAAATTGAAATCTTTTTTAACATTATACAAATGTCTTTACTGTCACATTTGATCAATTTAACACACATTGCTGAAAAATGAAATTATTAATAAAAAAAAAACAATATTTGGATAACATTGCAAATCACGCACTTATGAGGTGCTATGACAATAAAATGCATCTAAAAAAGATCCCTATGTCGGCATCAATGCTTACTACGTTTTGGAACAGAGCTAATATTTTTGTTATTGATAAAATTGTTCTCTTAATCTTAAGCTCCCTATAAAAATGCTCTGTATTGCTACTACGTGAAGCGATCAATACATCACATCTTTTAAAGCTCTGCCACTCTCTCTATGCCAGGGCATCTCTTATACACACACACACACACACACGCACACCTTACTGTCAGCATATGATGAAGTGATTCAGTACGGCCACAGATGGTGATGTAGAGAATATCCCAGGCTTATTGTACAAAGGAAGTCTCTCTTGTCTCGCTGCTCATTTCTCACACACACATACTGTATACATCACCTTTAACTGTGCTATCCGCATCATCTGTGGAGGACACTGGTAATCTTCATTCTTGACACTTTATTTTGGCCGTCACCTTCTCAAGAGGAAGTTAAACACTCTTGATAACCGCCACCCTCCTTTTTGAGCATAGACACGAAAGTACACTATCCAAACTTAAATGGTTGTAATTCATAAATGCTTTGGAATTAAAAACTAAGTTTGATCTCTTTTTTTAGATTATTGCTAGAAAAGTCAAAGCACTTCAAAAAATGAAAGTGTAAAAAAGTTAAAGTTTGTTTACTGCAAAGCAAAAATATTGCTCTAAACATTTTTTAATCCAAAATATATATTTAACAAAATAATTTGGACTCACACAAATTTAAGACGTACTGTATGTGTCAATAAGCTGTGTTCTAAATTTAAAGTTAATATCACAAAAATAAGGTTGCTGTGGCATTTTATTTAGGCACTATAGCGAAAACAACACCAGGTTACACACACACTCGTTTACCTGTTGCAAAGTAATACATTTCTGACACAATATCACTTCTATCACCTCAAGTCTTATACCTTTCCAGCAATATGTTTTGTCAAGACTAAAAAAAAAAAGATTTAATTTGAAATAGTGCAGTTAGTATAATTTGAAATTAATACAATTTGAAACAGGAGACTGCCCACTAGGGGGAGTTAAAATGATAAAATGATTTAAAGTACTGTTTCCAATAAAACATAATGACCAATTAAAAAAAAAATATATATATAAATATATATATATATATATATATATATATATATATATATTGAATGGTACACAATTCAAAACCCCACCTTGATTTCCTTGTTCTCTCTTCCAACAGCCTGTCCGATACGCCCGTGGTCCAGCTGGACGGAGTGTACCAAGCCGTGTGGCGGGGGGATGCAAGAACGCGTGATGAACGTAAAGAAGAAGGGCAAATCCTCACAGCCCAACCACTGCAAAAACAAGAGGGAGATTCGCGCATGCAATGTACACCCATGCTAAGAGTGACACTCTATCACTGTAACACACACACACACACACACACACACACACACACACACCCCAACACACACAGACTCAGCCCTTAAAGAGGCTGAATAGGGCAGAAACAGCGTAGTTTTAACCCAGGGTTTCCAGAAGCGGGACCGGCGAGGGATGTGTGTTCCAGTTACTGCTTGTAGGATTTTAGAGTAACACACACGTGGACCAGGCCTGTTATCCGTGATTAGTTTTAGATGCCTTCTTAGCGGGCATATATACTGTATCAATGTATAACCAACACTTTTCAGTACCAACTTCACTAAAAACATCAGTGTGCACTTCTTTTTTAAACAATAATCACATTTTCCTTCCATTCGTTATGCACAACCACCTTCTTTTGGGGTAAAGGTCAGAGGTCAAAACAGATATGTAGCATCCGAAATCGCATCTGAAATCGCGTTCCTTGTAGTAGAAAATGTTTGTCACACTTTGGAAAAACTGGTCACTGAAAATGGTTCTTCTGTGACATTGTTGTAAAAACCTAATTTTTTAAGAGTGTACTTGTTCAAAATAAGTAGCTACTCAAGGGAGAATGCGATTTCAGACACAGCTATGGTTTACTGCATCCAATAAAGCATTTTGGATGCAATCTCATAATGGTTTATAAAGAAAAAACAGGGAGTTTACCGCATGCATTTCAGTTTCCCAGGCCGCCTCTATTGAGTGATGTCAAGGTGGGTCACCCATAATCGATGCCCAATTGATTCGGACGGCAAGTGTTTGGTGAGGACGGAGGATTTTGGTAAATGCAGGCTTAGGGAGATGCACTGGCCGGCCTATGGATCGTTTAACGTTATATTACTGAACTAAAAAGCACAGGTAAAATAACCATTCGACTTTTTTTAGTTTTGTTTTATAAATCGTGATATATTAACTTGGAGATGAAAATAGATTGTGTCTTTTCATTGCATTAGATGTATAAGAGGCAAATGTGAAATATTAACTCAACTGTAGGGACAGAGAGCATTTAAATTAGACATTTTCTTACTTTTATTGTGGAATTTTTGGTATATTTAGCTTCAAAAAGTCTCACCAAAGTCAAGTGTGGATTTTCTTGATTTCTCTCTCGCTCACTCTCTCCTCTATTTTTTCATTTCACTCATCCCTTCTTCTGCAATATTCTGCTATTTTGGAATAAATCTTTACAATAAAAGTTTATGTGACTACGTTTTGGATTGCTTATTGTGGGGAAAAAAATCATTTACACTGTTTAATATATTCTTTGCTGATCTAGGACAGTTCTTAGTTGTAGCCACTAGGGGGAGACAGAGACTGAAGTATCGCCACATCAGTTCGTCACCAAGTGGCATCGTGCGTTTACATTTCAGTTTCTCGACACAGGATGAGGAATAGGTAAGCCAAAAGTGAAAAATTGGTCATAATTTATCACCCGTATGTTGTTTGGCAGACGTGGGGTCTGTCAGTCTCGGTCACCGTTCACTTTATTTGTTTGTTTGTTTTTTACCTGAATCTGACGTCTTTGTTGTGTTTCACAGTCGAAACAAAGTCATGATGTGGGTTTGGAACATCGTTAATATTACAGGATATAGGCCTATATATGTTTTAAATACCAAAGATGAATTTCTTTGAATGCTATCGGCTATCTCTTTTCGGATTTTAAGAAGCGTCGAACTCATGTGCTGAGCTGGTGATCCCATACAGTAGGCCTAAGTTACTGGCGGCATTTTACTACCTTAAAATGTTGAACAATATAAATTTTAAACCTCTGTTAGTCATAAATAACACCATTTGAAATCTAAGCATATTGAAGTTGATTAAAAGATCATTTAAAACACTTTACTGCATTTTTTTTCTGTCCACAGGCCAGTGTAGCCCATTTTCCTCTTTGTATTGTGTCCTGATATAATGTACTTAGAGTTCAAATGGTGCTATTTATGACTAGGACAGTTTTAAATTTGATATATATAGGCACAAAAGAGAAAAAGGCCTTTTTGTGTACATAGAAAAAGTCTTAGATCTTTTTTATTCAAAAAATTATTAAATTTATTTTAACAATTATAATCAAAGTCTTTATCATGTCCCTCAATTTGTTGTCCATCCTGTTATTTTTTTTACTACTTTCCCTTTAAATGAAAGTTGAGAAAACTGTCCATCTTTTAAATTTGATGTGGGCAACCTTAGTACGTCCATCCCGTTAAAAGAAATATGGAAAATGTTAGTAGAAAAATCATTTTTAAAATTAAAGACCATTTTTAAAGATCATGCAAATCTTTATTTGATAAACCTATGTTAGCTTGTTTCTGCTCAGACACGATGGATTGGCTGATTTTAGATCAGCATGTCCACCCTGTTTATATCTGAAGAACTAAGGAGTGGACTCTGAGAGTGTACATAATGATTGTGAAAGTAATTTAGAAGACAGTAGTGCATTCAAAGTTTGTTGGAAGTGCATTTGAAGTTCGATAGGAAATCATCAATCCATCCATTCTTTATACCACTTGTCCATCCTGTTATAGCCTATCAGTTTGTCCAGAATGTCCACTATGTTAAGTAGTGTTGTTTTTGTTTTTTTACAATAATTTCATAAAATCAGCAACAACAAAAAAAACGAGTAATTCAGTGACAATTAAAATTTACTAGAGATTCAATATTGTAGTACTTTAAAAAGTAAACAAAAATGCATTTTAGGAATTTATATCTGTCCCTAACCGGGTGGACATATTCGATCTATTTAATTTACTTGAATAAAAGGTTATATTTATTTACCCAAGCTTAACAAGAATATTTTTTTCAAGTGTTTTACCTCACCCTATCATGACTACACAGAAATAATAAATTTCTTCATTTTATGATGGCCAAAAGGCACTGAAAACCAGGAATGGCCCATTTATTTAGGCGCCTATATCGTGCGCCTTTTAAAACCTCTCATAAAAACTTCCACGGTTATTTAACTTGACAAGTGTGGAGTAAACGCCCCAGGGACTCTATACGTAAAACACAGGAGATTTTCCTCTCTTTCTAATCATCAGGTGCAATTTATTGTTAGAACGCATCATGTCTCGGCTAGCACTGAGCACAGAAATTAATTAAACTGGGCCAAGCACAGCAGCTTGGTAGTCATGGTAACACGCTGAAGCCATATTTTGCACATGAAAGAACGACTGGGCAGTGGATTTAAGAACTATGAAAGTTTGGCATATGAATATTAATGAGACTGTGACGTTTTCACAGTTGGCCTGCTTGATTTGCAAGCTACTCAAGATATACACATATTCAGATAATTAAAAAAAAATTTTTTTTTGCAAAAGTATTATAATAGATATTTGCAAATAATATACTGTAATAATAATAAACTAAATAGGCAAGCATCTGCAAATAAACTATTTTATTAAATTGCACAATGCTTTTGCTGCCTTCACTTGCTTGTCGGAAGATATTTTCTGTTTCGGAAGCCAACAATACTAGTACAGAGGTTTCGGTGCATGTTTTTAAAGGGATAGTTCACCCGACAAAATTCTGTTAGTCCCCCTCATGTTCAATCCAAACTCATAAGACTTTCGTTCATCTTCAACGTGCTGCATAACACAAAAATGAACCTCATTGGTTCTTGTAGAAGCTCAAACGTGCTGCGAAACGCGAGAATGAACCTCACTGGTTCTAGAAGCTGAAACGTGCTGCGTAACACGAGAATGAACCTCATTGGTCCTTTTAGAAGCTGAAACGCGCTGTGAATGGTGCCAATGGTTCTATGATTTACTTATGTGAAATGCAGCCATGTAGGTGAACCTGATTTCACCAAGGACAACATGTTCCTGGATCAACATCTTTGCCTGAACATTCCAATCATCCAATCAAATTTGAGGGACAAGTTTACAGATTATGTCAAGTTTAGGCTTACCACGGTGCTTCTACATCAGTGTTATTCACCATCATTTCCCTTTGTTTTTAGGCATAAGTTATGGGTATGAGTTAGGTTTAGGGGTTGGGATAGGGCTAGGAATATATTTTCAGACAGGAATGTTGTTCCAGGATCAAAAATAGATTGATAAAAATGAAAAAAATATATATATTGTCGATCCAGGAACATGTCTAATTGGCCAAATCACTGTGACCCAGCCCTCCATGCAGATCTCACAAGAGTCATTCATTCGGGAAAAAACAGATGTTTGCTAAGCCAGATGTACATCTTAACTATATTTGTAGCATACATGTTTAATGAATCAAGTGTACTTTGACTTCACAGATGCACAATGACGTCAGTAGAACAATTATTATTGTCTCATAAGGTTAGTCAGTTCAGGTTGCCTGACATTGTTAAATGCTACACATTCATTTGGCTACATGGTTTTCAGTGAAGTTTATTTCAGAGATGGTTAAAGACATTTAGCTTTTGCTTAAAGGTTTTCTGGAAGTTGTGACCCTAACATTAAAGAGCATGCTATTGTCTGTTTTGGAAACCATGGGAATATAATGGTCCTACTGTGGAAGACCATGACGCAGAGAATAATGTGCAGGATGCGAAGTTTTCAGATGTTGGTAACCAATGAAACACATTTTATAAAGACATTCTGTGCATCTGTATATGTACTTAAAAGATCTTTCTGCCTTTTGTGAAGTGAATGCCCAATTGCAAGGAATAGAGAATAGCAAAATTATGTTGGTTTTCAAATGTCACAATGCATTTGACAAAAAAAAAAACACACATTTTGAAATGTTAATCTTTCAGGCATTGAATAGAAGGCCGTTCAATCTCTTGAGAACCGAATGCAATTCTGCTTTTAAACAATTCAGTGCCCCAAACAGCCCAAAGCATGAAAGGAAATAATGTAGATGTTATATGGTTAGATGTTGCCTATTCATGTTGATTTTTCTTTGTATGCTGCAGTGCACAAACTCCCTGAATGTTCAACTTGCTTGGTTCTAAAGTGAAATGCACACAAAGATTAGTGATCATTCTGTGCATCAATGTGTATTTCTCAACTCAAACTAGCAAAAACTATCATTACAATTGAAAGTTATCAACTTTTTAAGAAAATTATTAGGCTTAAAAAAATATAACAGCTTTTAAATTAAGTGAACTTCAAACAATCCTCACATGAACCCATAATAAATTGCATATATTTACCTGTGCCCTTCCTATCTTAACAGGTAGGATACAGAAATTGAGTCACATTGGTAGCGCACTCAATATAAAATCGCGGCATTTTGCGTTATATAATTGCATAGGTTTGACATCTCGATTACGATTGCAATATGATTAATCGTGCAGCACTAATGGGAATGTGTGATTTCTTGCTCACATCGCAACACTATAGGAACAAACTTATAAATCTGTGATTTTTGCATCGTCCTGTTTATGTTCTCTCACATTTTGAAAATTTGATAAGATTAAGAGATTTAGTAGTGTTTAATGCTGTGCTGTTCTATGCTAATTTAGAAGAGTTTCTGATATGTGCTCAGAGATGGGTCAAGGCCAATTTATACTTTTGCGTTGGGTGCCCGCAGTAGGTACGGCGTAGCATACGCACAGACCATACCGCGTACCCTTCGCCGTAGACTGACGCGCACATCCTCAAAAATGTAACGGAAGAGATCACTTGTCCGACACGACAGTCGCAAGGTGTTGCAACGCCTCCCCACATTTGTACTTTGGGCGTTCCTCAAGTTTACCACTATGGGCGCGGTTTTGAGCCAGCAGCCAGTCTAGAACAGAGGACCTGCGAGAGACTTCCCCTCGTCTCCATATGCTCTACTTTTATTGGATAGTCCAGCTTTTTGACGCGCAGCATTTTTCCTAAATGAAGTGCCGCCTTCCCAGAATGCTTTGCGGGTGCGTCAAAGTCGCGTGACGTCACCCATAGGAATAAAGCGGAGCGCGGCGTGACAGAAGTGCCGCACGGACAAGTGGATCCGCACCGTGACTACACGTCGCGACGACGCAGACCACAAGATCTGTGATTGGTCGGCTTGGTAGCATCGCATTTCCTCCTACGCATTTCCGCACGTACCATCTCCTCCGACGTCTTCTCTCGTTTCCCAGATAGCAAACTGACATTGAATCAACGTGGAAACATGACATCGAAACAACGTTGATCTGACATCGTTTTGCTCATCGAATTAACGTTGAACCAACGTCAGACGCGTCATTCTTTCAAAACTAACGGAAAATCAACTTGAAATCAACGCGTTGTTTCAACGTTATGAA